CATGTTGCTCACTCAAGGCCCAAGAGATAGTTTAAATGTCACTTTTTCTGTCAAGTCATCTTTGACTCTTCCCTCCCCTCCCAGCGAGAATTGCTTGGGTTTATATCCTCCTGGCATCTTATAGCTCCTATCTTTATTAATTACTTCTCTTTGTTGCCTTTTCTTCTACTCAATAGATCTTTCCAAACCCAAAGGATAGGACTGTGCATGGCATACAGAAAAGTAGTGGCCCTCAATTTTAGCTATGCATCAGAATCACCCACCTTTTTTCATTAATTATTTTAATTTTATGTATGCATTCATTTATTTAAATTTGACCAGAGAAAAGACACAGAGAGAGAGGGAAAGTGAGAAAGCAAGGCTCCAGGTCTGGGACTCAAACCATGGTTGGCCATGTGGGAGTGTCCAGCATCTTAACCACCATGCCACCTGCTGGCCCCCAACCCACCTTCTTGTTTTGTTTTTCTTTTTAGTTTTTTGCCATAGGGCTCATGTGCTCACTAGAAAGAGGCAGAAAGAGAGAAAGTGACAAATCACGCCCCAGGAGGACGGCCACAGGCAATTCTTTCTCCTCCAGTCTCCTCTTGGGATTTTGGGTACATGTGCCCAGTGTGATTTTCAAGCCACCGAGTCCAGAATTCAAACCATGCTTGGCCACATGGGAGTCCCGTGTCTTAACCTCCATACCACCTATACCCCGTTTCTTAAAAATACTAATTTGTACAGTCACATCTTTATTCAGAAGATTTGAAAAAAAAATCCAAATTACTCTCTTATAGCTGATGGGCAGCCAGGGTTGAGATTTTCTATAGCAGATACAAAAATGTATGCTAAAGGCAGACATAGTTCCATTCATCCAAGAGAACAGCAGAAAGATTCATTCCATTAAGACTAAACCAATTCAGAAGGTTCCTCCCATTTAAGAAACATAGGGAAACCATGGGGACCAGCAGTTGGCGTAATGATTATGTCATTGGGCTCCCATGCAGTCGACCATGGTTCAGGTCCAGGACCCAGTGGCTTAAATTCACACCGGGCACGTGTGCATGCGTGCCCAAGATCCCAAGAGGAGAATAGAGGAGAAAGGATTGTGGTGTGGCCATCTCCCTCTGGGGAGTGATGTTTTACTTTCTGTCTCTCTGTCTCTCTCTGTCTTGGTGAGCGCACGCACCCTATAGCAAAAATCCTCTCCAAAAAAAAAGAAACATAAGGGACCCAGCCCTGTGGGAACTAGTCCCACTCCTGATGGCTTAAAAAAGCATGATGGGCCTGTGTGCCTGTATGCCCAAAATCCTGACAAGATGGAGAGATTGGAGAAGGATTGAAGCGTGATCATGCCCCATTGGGAGGTACCTTCTCTCTCTTCTTCTCTCTCTGCTGAGTGTACCACATGCCCTCTGGCAAACTAAAGGAAAGACAAAAAGAAAAAGAAACACATGAGGATCAGCAGGTGGCATAGTGGTTAAGGCGCTGGACTCCCACGAAGTCAATCAGTTCAAGCCCTGGACCCAGTGGCTTGAAACTCAGGCCAGGTACATGAGCGTGCATGCCTAAAATCCCAAGAGGAGCCTAGAGGAGAAGGGACTGCAGTGTGGCCTTCTCCCCATGGCGTGATTTCTCACTTTCTGTCTCTTTAACAATCTGGCAAGCACACGTGCCCTAGAGCAAAAATCTCTCTCAAAAACAAACAAACAAATACTAATAATATAGTATTTTCCCTACTAATGTTCTGGTTCCTTACTATGAAACTGATGTACTGGGCCTAGCCACTGTGGTGCTTGCTAGTAAGATGCTATGTTCCACATGGTCAGACCACATGGTCCAGGTTCACAGGAAGTCCCCACCCCAGCCTATAGGATGGGCATGGTGGTGTGTGCCTATAATCTCAGGGACTCAGGGAGGCAGAGACAAGAGGATTGGGACCGTGAGACTCTGTATTTAAAAACATATATATATATATATATATATATATAGGCATGGTGGTTGGTGGTTAAGGTGGCTAAATCCCACACGGCCAACTGTGCAGTTGAGTCCTGGACTTGACAGCTTGAAAAACACACCAGGCACGTGTGTGTGCGTGCCCAAAGTTCTGAAAAGGGCTTGTGATATGGCCATCCTCCTGGGAGGGGTGATTTCTCTCTCTCACAATCCCACACACCTTACAGCAAAAATAATTTTTTTTAGAGAGAGATTTTTGTTATAGGGCACATGCATGTGCCCTATAACAAAAATCTCTCTCTAAAAAAAATTATTTTTGCTGTAAGGTGTGTGGGATTGTGAGAGAGAGAAATCCCCCCTCCCAGGAGGATGGCCATATCACAAGCCCTTTTCAGAACTTTGGGCACGCACACACACGTGCCTGGTGTGTTTTTCAAGCTGTCAAGTCCAGGACTCAACTGCACAGTTGGCCGTGTGGGATTTAGCCACCTTAACCACCAACCACCATGCCTATATATATATATATAGGCATGGTGGTTGGTGGTTAAGGTGGCTAAATCCCACACGGCCAACTGTGCAGTTGAGTCCTGGACTTGACAGCTTGAAAAACACACCAGGCACGTGTGTGTGCGTGCCCAAAGTTCTGAAAAGGGCTTGTGATATGGCCATCCTCCTGGGAGGGGGGATTTCTCTCTCTCACAATCCCACACACCTTACAGCAAAAATAATTTTTTTTAGAGAGAGATTTTTGTTATAGGGCACATGCATGTGCCCTATAACAAAAATCTCTCTCTAAAAAAAATTATTTTTGCTGTAAGGTGTGTGGGATTGTGAGAGAGAGAAATCCCCCCTCCCAGGAGGATGGCCATATCACAAGCCCTTTTCAGAACTTTGGGCACGCACACACACGTGCCTGGTGTGTTTTTCAAGCTGTCAAGTCCAGGACTCAACTGCACAGTTGGCCGTGTGGGATTTAGCCACCTTAACCACCAACCACCATGCCTATATATATATATATAGGCATGGTGGTTGGTGGTTAAGGTGGCTAAATCCCACACGGCCAACTGTGCAGTTGAGTCCTGGACTTGACAGCTTGAAAAACACACCAGGCACGTGTGTGTGCGTGCCCAAAGTTCTGAAAAGGGCTTGTGATATGGCCATCCTCCTGGGAGGGGGGATTTCTCTCTCTCACAATCCCACACACCTTACAGCAAAAATAATTTTTTTTAGAGAGAGATTTTTGTTATAGGGCACATGCATGTGCCCTATAACAAAAATCTCTCTCTAAAAAAAATTATTTTTGCTGTAAGGTGTGTGGGATTGTGAGAGAGAGAAATCCCCCCTCCCAGGAGGATGGCCATATCACAAGCCCTTTTCAGAACTTTGGGCACGCACACACACGTGCCTGGTGTGTTTTTCAAGCTGTCAAGTCCAGGACTCAACTGCACAGTTGGCCGTGTGGGATTTAGCCACCTTAACCACCAACCACCATGCCTATATATATATATATAGGCATGGTGGTTGGTGGTTAAGGTGGCTAAATCCCACACGGCCAACTGTGCAGTTGAGTCCTGGACTTGACAGCTTGAAAAACACACCAGGCACGTGTGTGTGCGTGCCCAAAGTTCTGAAAAGGGCTTGTGATATGGCCATCCTCCTGGGAGGGGGGATTTCTCTCTCTCACAATCCCACACACCTTACAGCAAAAATAATTTTTTTTAGAGAGAGATTTTTGTTATAGGGCACATGCATGTGCCCTATAACAAAAATCTCTCTCTAAAAAAAATTATTTTTGCTGTAAGGTGTGTGGGATTGTGAGAGAGAGAAATCCCCCCTCCCAGGAGGATGGCCATATCACAAGCCCTTTTCAGAACTTTGGGCACGCACACACACGTGCCTGGTGTGTTTTTCAAGCTGTCAAGTCCAGGACTCAACTGCACAGTTGGCCGTGTGGGATTTAGCCACCTTAACCACCAACCACCATGCCTATATATATATATATAGGCATGGTGGTTGGTGGTTAAGGTGGCTAAATCCCACACGGCCAACTGTGCAGTTGAGTCCTGGACTTGACAGCTTGAAAAACACACCAGGCACGTGTGTGTGCGTGCCCAAAGTTCTGAAAAGGGCTTGTGATATGGCCATCCTCCTGGGAGGGGGGATTTCTCTCTCTCACAATCCCACACACCTTACAGCAAAAATAATTTTTTTTAGAGAGAGATTTTTGTTATAGGGCACATGCATGTGCCCTATAACAAAAATCTCTCTCTAAAAAAAATTATTTTTGCTGTAAGGTGTGTGGGATTGTGAGAGAGAGAAATCCCCCCTCCCAGGAGGATGGCCATATCACAAGCCCTTTTCAGAACTTTGGGCACGCACACACACGTGCCTGGTGTGTTTTTCAAGCTGTCAAGTCCAGGACTCAACTGCACAGTTGGCCGTGTGGGATTTAGCCACCTTAACCACCAACCACCATGCCTATATATATATATATAGGCATGGTGGTTGGTGGTTAAGGTGGCTAAATCCCACACGGCCAACTGTGCAGTTGAGTCCTGGACTTGACAGCTTGAAAAACACACCAGGCACGTGTGTGTGCGTGCCCAAAGTTCTGAAAAGGGCTTGTGATATGGCCATCCTCCTGGGAGGGGGGATTTCTCTCTCTCACAATCCCACACACCTTACAGCAAAAATAATTTTTTTTAGAGAGAGATTTTTGTTATAGGGCACATGCATGTGCCAGAGAGACAGACACAGAAGGGAGAAATCACCCCCCAGGGAGATGGCCATGCCACAATCCACTATCTTCAATTCTTTTCTCAGGATCTTGGGCACGCATGCACAAATGCCCAGTGTGAGATCTAAGCTGCTGGGTCTGGGACTCAACCCACAGTCACCTACATAGGAGTCCAGTGATGTAACCATTACACCATCTGCTGGTCCCCTCTATAGAAATTTACAATGAGAGTGAGAGAGAAATAATTTAAAGGGTCTGTGGAAGTGTAGCTAACGTCGTAGAATGTGCTAATAAGCTCGCCAAAGCAATGGCACAGGTGAACACAGACTGGGAGAAACAGCTTTATTCGGACTAAGCTGGAGAATGCGAGTCGGACCTGAGATAACATATTAGGCTAAGGAGTTAAGATTAGGTTCCAAAAGGGCAGTTGGACCTCAATCAACTAAATGGACTGTACTTCCCAGCAGCCTTGCAGTTAGTGCAATCAATAAAAGGCCTGCTGGGAAATGTATTTGCCACTAAATCATCCAAAAGTACCAACATAACAAAACAGATACAGGATATTCTTCATCATTAAATTTCCCCAACCCCCTGCCAACCATGAGTATTACAAAAGGAAAGAAACATCCCATTATACAGATCTGAAACTTGTCTTCAGCATTTAGCACAAACATCTCACCATCTTCAAAAAATAGCTCCCCTCTAATTCATCAGCTATAAAATCTACCTGAGCACCAAGCAGGTGCCAACCCATGGCAATCCTCTTCCCATTTTCCCTGGCCAGTCAGGGCTGACAGCAGGGTGAGGCCCAGGTGGGGCTGGGGCTGGAGAGTGGGGTGGGGCGGGAACAGGGCTAATTTCCCCCAGTGCAACATGACATGGCATCTGAAGCTTGATGGGAGAGCAGAACTGGTGAGACTTGAGGGAAGGGTCCAGGCCCTGCATTCAGTCAGAGTCACTGCTGGAAGAGGAGGAGGAGGAGGAAGAGGAATGCTGCAAGGGGAAAGGGGAAAGGAGATAGCATCAGATCCAAATGACCTTTGATCACTCCATGAGCCAATCTTTGGTGTCCCACCCCTCCACCCAACACTTGCTTCCCTGAGAAAGTCAGGAGCCTTAAATCAGACTGTCCCTTAAACAAACCCAAGGGTTTCCTTCAGCAGTGGGTACACAGGAATGGATCAAGCCATCCTCAACCACTGTGCAGAATTTAACCCACTGCCTTTGTGGCAAGTTTCACAATTTACTAAGAATAAACTATAGGCACGAGCATAGTATCATTCTAGGAAATGGTTGCTACTTATAAATGCTTACTTAAATGCTGTACACAAAGTCCCTATAAATCTAAGAAATTAGATCCTGTAGAAACAGCAGCTGTGTGTGTATGTATCTCTACTTCTTCCTAAACCCTGGATGGGAAAAAAGGCTGGCAGAGTCCTATTCAGGTTCCTTACACGCCTACTCCCATTGATGCCACCACTGCAAACAGTTTTTAGTTTCCTTTTCCTCAGACTTCTACCAAAGACCAAGAATCAGCCCAAATCCATAAGGTAAACAAATGCTGGGCAGAAAAATATAAATGAAGGCCTCCTCAAGATCCAGATTAGTTTAATCTGACTGGAAGTAGAAATATCACACTTTACAGATCTTAAAACTTATCTTCAGCGTTTAGCTCAAATGTCTCACCATCTTTGAAAAACTGTTCCCCAGTGCTGTCCACAGAGCTACTCTTTGGCTTCCTACAGAGTGAAGATACTTGTACTTAACCTTGGGGCTGAGTTCAAAATCCCCTTAGTCCTAGGCTTATTTGGAGGCTGAGTCACTGCTCTTGTCCTCAGTTTCCCTTTTCAATGGTAGGACAAAGGTCTACATAATTAACACAACACCCTGAGCACACTGAAGGAGAGAAAAGAACTCCAGGAACTAAGACCAGATTATTAGTCTATTAATTATTATATAAACCTTTGCTTTGTCAAAGGACCGACCCTGTTTACAAATCTAACAGTTTGACAACCTCAATGGGTGTGTTCCACTTGCTCAAACGTGTACCTGGAGGGGAGGGAGCAAATGTTCTCCAAGAGAGTAAGATAGATAAGATGGGCTTTTGACTCTGACAGCGACTAAGGTGCATCTTAACCCCTTCCAGATAAAAAGGGCCTGATATTTCTCTTCAAGATGATCAGACTGT